GGGGTCCGGGGTCTGACCTACGTCTGTCGGAACAAGAATGGGGTAAGGTTAAACTGGCTTTAACGTCGCGTTCAATGTCATTGCACCTATATCGCGATGTGCATGTACATGTTGTGTTGAGATTGCTTGTACCAGTCCGGACTTGTGCCGACTTTATGTTCTTGCCCACTGATATACCATGCCGCATTTTGACATCGAACCCCTACTCAGACACAGTAAACTGACTCCGAGCTCGAGCCGACCACACCTTGTTTAATTCTGAGCCGAGTGCCAGCCAGGGTAACAACAAAAATACCATCTTTGTGCCATCATGACGCGACTAGGGGATCGAACCACCGACCTTCCGTTCTCCGGAGGTGAACAAGGAACAAGAATGACAGATGAAACTGATTGCCTATTAGCCGTAGAGTTTTAAGACCTATTTCTAATTTATATTTCCTGTCTCACGGTAGGCATTTCCCACGACGATGTGTTTTTTTGTGGTTGTTTCAATTCAGATGCAATTTATTTCGGCGACTCGTATTTTTCACAACTGCTGTAACTGTCGGTTATGAAGTGTGAAAGGTTTGGGAGAAATAACTGGAAAGATCCGCATGTCATCTGTTATTCCGGCAACTCTGCAAGCTTCCAATAATGACAAGTGCATTGTGCAGTTGAGAACACGGATGTCATGCTCAGGTCAACCGGCAGTTTATCGATATTGGCGCAGTGCAAAGGGCGGGAACTTTCACCACCATCCTGAAGTGATTGTGTGACGTGGAGCATAGACCAACATCTAGTCTCTGAAATGAACATATCGTACAGAAAAAAACAGTTATCTTAATAAAAATATAATAAAAGGGAGCCCAGTGACTCTCTTCATTTCCTGATACTGCAGTAATCTAGACTTCCCAAACATTATAGACTTGCATGGGCTGTATTTGATACATATTTGTATCAGGGTCTGTAAGACAGACTACAGGGAGAAGGGCATCATGGCTGACACTTGCCAAGTGTTTTAAAGCGGTGTGCGTGTACATTCTTCTGTAACAGCAGAGTAGACCAGACGTGCGAATGACGTTGACGTTGACAAACGAACATTATTATATACATGATATGAACGATACATTATATTACCGGGTGTATTGTAGGGTTATTTCCTTCGGGGAAAATATATTGAGCCAAAAAAGTAAATATAGTACGTACCTTCTAAAACATGGCATATATCTGAACGAAGGTTTCCTGAATAGGAAGATATAGGAATAAAAGACCATATAAGAATGCGATTTAGGTCACCGTCAGAATCAGGTGGGTATACACGAATCTAAGACTCTAGTCTCAATGAAACGATGAATGTGTGTTATCGGTTATCTAGTGTTTGCATACCGGGATAAGCACCTGACACATTACGTTTTGTTTATTCAATTACGTGTAAGACAACAACGGTTTTCCAACGCAATGGTTACTGCAACTGCCCTCATGACGTCACTGAGTCCATGAAGTCATTAAACCATGCAGTGCGTTGACGTCATAAGAGTCCTTTCAGCCCGATGCAATCTTTACAATCAAACTTCCCTCTGCTACTGTCTGTGCACTATATCAAATAGGTAATCGGGAAAAAATATGGTGACTCCATGACATTTCACTAGCTTACCTAGAAGTCTTTTAGCGTTTAGTTTTTTACAAACAGAAAAAAATTAGGCCACGCCCACAAATGGACTGTTGTTCCTTATTGGCTAATAATAGAATGGGCGGGGCTTCAGTTGCATTATAACGCTGAATATCGTCAGCATATATATTTCAGTATTGTCCACAGTTTTATGTGTTAATGATTAAATAAGCAGTCTGCGAAGTTAGTAATGTTGCCGAATTCATTTACAAAATATGACTTCAATATGTTTGGGGGTTTATGGAGATGTAAACGTAACTAGGCCGATTTATACAGTGTGTACATCTGTTATTTTCGTTTATACAATAAACACACACAATAGTGAAGTCAATTCTTAAATAAATAACATTATATAGTGTAAATGGCCATGTTTATTATGTTTATGATACGTTTGCCAATTGCGTAGTCCCTCGCTCTCGATAAGGCGAGATACGCATCCTTATCGTAAACATAGCAAGCGTGTTGATAGAGATGTTTGGAAACGGAGGTTGCGATCTGTGATCAACGTGCTAACGAACAAGTGTTAGATGCATCCAAATAAACCGCAAGGAGATTACCGGGTGGTAGGTTTTGATATTTTGTTGAAACTGAAACACTGTCCAAATCGGCGTTAAACTCCAACTCAATCGACCCGTGAAGATCCGGTGTATAATAGGTCTTCAGAAACCCATGCTTGTCGTAAAAAGCGACTGACTTAGTTGATGTCATCGTCTCCCAATTGCGTGGATCGATGCTCATGATGTCAATCACTGGGTTGTCTGGACCAGACTCGATTATTTACAGACCGTCGTCATATAGCTGGAATGTTGCTGAGTACGGCGGTAAACAACAAACAAACATAAAAACAACCCAACTCTCGTGACGTGAAACACCATTCACTCACTCACTCTCGGGGGCGGTGGGGTAGCCTAGTGGTTAAAGCGTTCGCTCGTCAGGCCGAAAACCCGGGTTCGATTCCCGTCGTGGATACAATGTGTCCGCCGTGATTTTGCTGGAATATTGCTAAATGCGGCGTAAAACCGTACTCACTCATTCACTCTCGTTTTTAACTTAACAGTACATTTTCTGCCACTTACATCCCGTCGACCAGGTAGGTTACTGGTGGTGAAGGTCCTTGATTACATGAATTGTGAGTTTTGAGTAGTATGTCTATATGGCTACACTCAACACTAGATAATTGCCGATGATGGTTTTGATCATCGTTGAAATATTTAATCTATAATACCGTGCGTGGATTTCAGTAGAACTGCAGAATGGATAAGAAAGTTTGTCATCTTAATAAATATGATATATGAAATTTGGAGTTCAGGTGAAATTGGTTTCATCTTACATTGGTTTCCTCCAGTTTCTGAGATATCATGTACCTGGAGGCGGGGAGTGAATGTCGTTATTACCACTTAGTTCGCGCTAATTAGTCCGTTTTTAAGCTAATGGAATTTATATTTCCATTAACTGTTCCCGAAATTGCAATATCTCGACTTCATTAAAGTGTACAACAATGATCATAACTTGAATGTAATCAGTCACCAAGACCTTCTAAAAATAATCACCTATATTTAATATCAAAACCAACCACAATATCGGTATGTCTATGCTGAAAACATTCAAATAACTCCCATACGATTTCAAATTAGTTCGCGAAACTCATAAACAGTCTATACGAATTGTCCGCTGAAGGTGAATTTGAGTCTATTAATGATGAACTTAACACTGATGTGTTTTATCTTCGATATTGCATACTGGGAATAAAGACCCCCAACCCCGCAAAACTCTCTCTCTCTCTCTCACACACGCACGCACACACACGCACGCACACACGCACACACACACACACACTCTGACACACACACACACACACACTCTGACACACACACACACACACACACACACACTGACACACACACACACACACAAAAGATATTACCCATCTTTCACAGATAATATGTCGAATGCCTTGAAGCAGGAGTGGAAACTTACATATTTAAATGGTCAGTCAGTAACTGGGGACGGTTCAGTTAATTGGTTTATAATAATAATACACAATACATTATTATTATTTCTGAAGTAAAATATTAAATTCAGAAAGTATCCAAAGACATTTGACCAAATATACACACCCGACGTAGTAGAAAATCACAAATTCGGTGGTTGAGCTTAAAGTTAATTAAATGATAAAGAGAAAATTAAATTTGTTTGGACAGTGATCTATGCCTTAACCAGAAAAAAGGTATAGGAATATTACTACCAAGCAATGAAGTGTTTGAATGAAAGTAATAGAGTAGCCATTGTAAAGACATTATGGTTTGTCTGTTCATATTGATTTGTGTTTGAAATACCTCAAACAACAATAAAAATGTTGGTTAATCAAAGTCGAGTATTTAAATTGGTTAATGCATTTCCCAATAAAGTTATCACTGCGCTCCATTGCGCTGAGCTAATTGTTTCTCCCCGCAAGACTGTACTTTGATTTCGAGACTATCCCCCGACACTGGCCTATTGGCATTACCCCCTGAACAAGGCTTTTCATTCCAAGAAGCGTCTTTGGTTCAATTCAAGTTGCTTTTTTCCTTCTATTTTGAGGTTAGCCGTGGTTACGTTCCTTAATTAACCCGAATGAAATCAATCTGATTAAAAAACCCAGTGAATTCTGCGTCAGAATTGTATTTTTTAAATAATTAAACTTACCTTGCACAATTCAAGTTGTAATAAGAAAACCTATTGGTGTCTCGTAGGGGAAATTTGAACATGCAGACAGCTCTGTCGCTTTGAAACATTTCGAGTGATGAAAACGCGAAAATGTCAAACTCATCATGAAACGCTTGTACGTAATATGTTTGATCATTACTTGCCAGAGTTAAATTTCAAAATAGTTATGGACAATATGATTAGAAAATGACCCGTCAGGAATTCCAACACAATCTCTTGAAATGATGAAATCAAAATACCTAGTGATTCTCTATCGATTAAAAAAAATGCAATTTTTTCAATGCAATCAGAACTTATAAATAAACCAAACAAACCAATAATTGGTTTGTTTGTATCTTCAGGCAAAAAATGCACGTGTTTCTTACGACAGCCACGTTCTGGCCTACTCGGTGTGTAAACAATCATGTTTAATCGATAAACAGCTTAACTGGGTCATTTTTGTCAGTGTAAATTATACTGGAATGTCCTGCCATTTTTTGATGCACAAGTAATGTGATGGGTGTTTTGACAAACACCGACTCCACGGATAGTGTAATAATACTGACATTTACTCGTCAAGTCAATAGATCCCCATTTCGTGCGTTGAAAATATCTCAGCGCACCCAAAGTTCGCCAGTAATTTATACTTCACTGGGAAATTATGATGTGTGTTGAATAATTATCAATGTTGCGGAAACGCTATTACAATCATCAATGTCGCCTTCATCTGTGGAGGTTACACAAGATCCATCGTTCGAGCGCTGCCCTAGCGAGCCAGGCCACGGGAGAAAGTGTCAAAATTTAACATTTGGGGCAAAAACGTACTGACAGCTCGCCATGGGTGGCTTGTTCCTTCAAGCTTTTTCCCGAATACAACATTCATAGATTTATGCTCTTCCTTGTCATATCTTGGTCGTGTGCCGTTGAAATAGGCAACAAACACTACTCCACACTTGAAGCATCAATCACCCTGGAGTAATTGGCAGCACGTGCGAGCTCTTGGCGGGAAACATCCCGGCAGTCCCTTCCTTTGCTGAACTGTCGTCTGCTGTCTCGTGGGTGTATCAGGCACGGTGTACGAGCCATCACTTTAGAAACTTCCACACGCAACACAGGACTATTTCCTAGATTGCTACAAACGTAAGTATACAGTTTCTCTTCTTTCTTTGAGGTCTGGATTTACAGCGAACAAGGGAATTTGAGGCTTGAGAAAATCGTTCAGCAGTGACTGTGGCACTGTAGCGTTCGATGTTATTACTGAGCCCACAATCGGAAGATCTTTGAAGAAACGCAAGGCATGCACTCTTTAGCGTAGGATGTCACTTTACTCACGGCGAATTCTCTTAAACGATTAACCATTAATCAAATTAGCCCAAAATTAACTATCTTCAGGGAGAGACATTCAACTGCCGTGCTATGGATTATTCTTTCAGTACCATGGAGTTTTGATGGGGATGTTTGATGTAACCGTGAAGGACATTGAATAGACAATTGGCAATTGGACTTGAATTGTACATGATTGGTAATTGTGATATTATTTCTGATTGTGCGAATGCGCGATGAGCACTGACATATAAGGGTTACCCAATGGTGATGGGGTCGATCAACACATCCATTGAAATGGTAAAGAATCAATGGATGTCTCGCAAAACGAAATGCACAATTGATGATATCGGAGAGGAGACACCCAGCATCTTTGTTTGAATCACTTGTCTGGTACATGACAGCACCAGTATAGTAAAAACAGTTTTCAGGAGTTTGAAAGATCAAAGAAACATTTGTAATTTTGCTTGACCTTTACAACACATGTTTTTGTATTATAAAGCTTTTTACATCTTTTGAACCAATCATTTCATAAATAACGAATTGAAAGGTGACCAAACATTAATATTGAAACTACAAAGCTTTATATATCTTTTGTATCTCTATATAATGTGCAGTCCATTTCAATTTGCCATTGTAGGAGTGGTTTAGTACTTGAAAATGTTTATGGCAAGGAAACGGGAGAATTTATATATACATCACCAATGGGCACCCATGGGCACTCCTCAATGTGGTGGGCATATGTGGGACAAGTTTCATTAACTTTTTAGATTGGTTTCATGCAACAGGAAGTTGAGTCACGTGCTACAAGAGCGCTGTAAAATAACCTAGAGAGATTTGTCAAGGTAATAATCATATAATTATCAATGTCCGAGTCATGAATTGCCAAATTGCTCACCAAATGCCTATGACTGGCACTGTTTCATTACAACTTGTACATTGTTATTATTTACAATATAAAAATGATAAAATGTACACAGGATCCCTACTGTAATTATGTAATGTTTGTAGATATTTCATAATGGTATATTTTTTTTGTCAAAGGTCATTCTGAAAGCTGAATTTGACTGGCATTTGTTAACCGTATTTGAAGTGTCAATTGGGAACAAAAACTTTATTATGACTACATGTTCACTTTGTTTTGGGTAATGAATACCAGTACATCATTTCAATATCAAAATAATACATGTAAAGTACAGATAGGAGTAGAATGCAGTGCAGGTGACAATTTGTTTGTGTACTTTCACAACCCATACATGGTTTCCATGTTGGTGAGGCAGAAACCGAGGTCACATGATGTAAGAGCATTGTTGAAGTCCATAAATGTTTTCAAGGGTGAAAGTGCCAATACACACTGGGAGAGTTAGGACCTGCCCAATCAACCAAGGCAATGAGTCCCATATAACGGTAGTTGTGGTCAAGTGGAAACATGTTATTTTTGATAATTTGCCTGTTTGTTATAACTTTGGTGAGTGCTGACCAACCCCCCCCCCCCCAAATAATTTACCCTGTGTGCATGTTTCTATGTGTGCAACATACCAGGGTCAGGGTTTTACCTGGTGTAAAGTATTGAATCTTATTAGCGTAACAAAAGACAATGAGATCTTTTATCTACTATGCATTCCTCGAGGCAAAACACACACACTATTTTTATGCAAGTTGGGTGTGTGGCAGGAGCTGGATGGGGCAGGATGTGCCTACCCTTTTTGCAAACACCTGGTGTCACCACTAATCAATTCATATAATTTTCACTGTTATTTTGCCCTTTACGCTCAATGGAATCTGCTCCATCGGTTAATCGAGACAGCGGTCACACTCAGACCCCAATTTTAATGCCTGGTACCCCCAAGACCAAGTGTCCCCAAGCCTTGCTGATGTAGTTTTAGGAACGTAAGTAAAAGCAACAAAATCTTTTCAATTTTCATAAGAAATCTCTGCTTAAAGTAATTTTGATTGACGCCAGGTGTTGGCGAAAAGGTGATGGTATCCTGCCCCAACTGGTGCCACCCATCACAAACACATGCAAAGGCAAGTCAATTGTTTAACTAGTGTAAATCCCAGGAGTATGCTGGCACAATGGAACTACCTTGAATTGCTGTAGAATCTTTCCACTTTTAATCTTTTGGCATTCATTCCAAAATTAGTTTATAAACAAGTGGATATTAGATTTACAATGTGAGTATGAAACCTTCCTGTGATAGCACTCACACTGAAGAATCTCAATAGCTTCTTATGTACAGTGGTGATATCTGTTGCACCAGAATCCTTTACCATGTGTATAGTGTTTTAGCAACAAGTAGAGAGTGCTAAAAGATTTTTTTTGAAAGAGGAAGATTGAAATGTGTTTTAACTTTAAAGATGCTGCAGTTTCAAATTAGTACAGATAATTACTCATTAAAGTACCCCCTACCAACAATCGCTTGCTTTCCCATCACAAAATTTATGACCTCCTGTGATCGTAATTAAACCCACAGCAATGAAACAACTGTTTACCTATTGCGGAAACAGCCCATGCTTGTCTTGTAGTCCTCTGTGTCTTAGAAAGTGTGTCAAATTCCAGTGTTAGGATGGTGGTGTGGGATGACACGGATGTAATGATGCCTTAAATGATGTATCGGCTGTAGATGGTATACACTGACTTACACTTTTGCCGTCAGACTCTCAATTGAAATCCACTTGACTAGAAAAAAGGTGTTATTTTGTGAGCTTGTCGAAGGAATATAATTTATCTCTTGAGTATAGTAAATATATCATTTTCAGATGAGGAAATAGGATTTTGCTCTGGTTTAGGTTTACCAATTCTTGTTTATCTGTTAGTTGTTTGTAAAGTCATGATGATGATGAAAATGTCTGTTAAATGTATTTTCGTTTGTATTGAAGGGTAAGAACACTCGTTTGTGTTTGTGAAACTGTGACTGTATCGAATAACATAGTCGCGAGCCAAAGAGGGGAGTTAAGTGTAGCCAAAAGAACTACCACTGTATAAATGAAAGTGCTGCACCTGGTTTTCAAAATAGGTTTGTTTATGTAGTATGAGCAATAATGAGGGCAATTTGTCTCAGTTTAGCATAAGCACAACAAGCAAACTTCAGTGATACCAGATTAATAAGGTCTCTTACTGTTGGGAAGTACTCATGCTGTTTATTACATCTGTCAAACAGTTTCTTGTTCTGAAAATTCCTTAGAAAATTTGAAGAAGAAAATAAATTTTGAAGCTTTAAATTGATTTGCGCTGTTGAATTATAGACGTTTCTAATATGTTCTTAACAACTGTGTTTATGTAGGTGGCCCTGATTCTGATGTAATGTCTGATACAAGGAAGCAATTTCTTAACCTGGTTTTCGAGTGTTGTCAAATATCTGCCAGATATTCTAGAGAAAAGATTACTTCATATCTATTTCAATTGAAAATAGATATTGTTTCATGGTTACTGGTTGAGAGTAGTTGACAGGATGACATGCTCAAGGCACTTCTTGTAAAATGTTGAGTAGCAACACTGACACTTTATAACATTTAACTATTTTACTATCAAATAGGTATTGTTACTATTGGCGCAATTGATTGTCTTCGGGTAGTTTTGTTTTTTTATTAGTAAGTACTCAATGGTAATCATGAGAAGATTATGCAACTTTTGACTGTAGTTCGCAATGTTATTGAACCAAATGTTCAATTATTCATTGGGTTTATTTTATGTTTCCATGTGTGGATTTTTATATTATGGAAATGAAAATGTCAAAATATAAAAAAAATGATGTATAATAAATAAATTTGCCACTAGTCAGAACACCTGAACAAATTATTTGTTATGGTTCCAATTACATCAAGTTTGTGTAAAATAGTGTCAATTTGTAACATTTTTGCCCAGTATTGATAATATTTATATGTGTTAGTATGTTCTTTTGAGGACTTATTTTATGACTTAACCTATAAATGTTGAAGATGGATCTGATAAATGACAATAGTTAATGCGGTGGTAATAAAATCGTTCATGAATGCTACAAATTGCCAATTCAACTATTAACTATCGACTTGATGAAGGCTTAATGAGAATAATTGTTGAACTCTTGCTGATTACTTTTTAGATGTAATTTGATCAGACATTTGAACTGTAAGTGTTCTTTGCCACTGAACATTTAAGATCAAACAACAGATATTCATTACACAATAGCTGTCATTATCTTTGATGCAAGTGCTTGAAAGTTTGTTGTGACTGACAAGAATATATAGACTTTTTGTTGTACAATAATACTTAGGAAACATTCGGTTTTATAGATTGAATGTTTGTTGATCCCAATTGCTCATCACAAGTAATTGTGTTGCAAAATATTGCTATAAGTAATGTTTAATGGTTATGTATTATAGCTGTTTTAGTAATATAAGTTTCATTCAATTAGAGAACTACTTCAAAGTCACCACATGTGCCAGTATGGTCTGTCACCCACATCGAAATGTAATCATAATGAACAGTTTTAGGCAACATAAATGGAAAGTATGATTGTGTCATGGCTGTGTCTGTCTAGCTAAGAAGATCCTGGTTAGAATAGGTCTTCATCAACCCATGCTTGTCGTTAGATGCGACTAACAGGATTGGGTGGTCAGGCTGACTGACTTGGTTGACGCATGTCATCTTATCTCAATTGCTTAAAACGATGCTCATGATGTTAGTCACTGGATTGTCTGGTCCAGACGATAATTTAAAGACTACCATCATATGGCTGAAATATTGCTGAATGTGACTTTAAACAAAAACAACAAACAAGCTTTGTCTGTCAAAGTCCTTTAGAATGCTTTTTATACTCACCAACAAAAGAAACGCA